TTTTTTGCCAACGATTCTTGCATTGGTTTACACTTCTTGACATCCCTGCTTCAGATTTGTTATCATTAAAATATTGAGAATTTTTTTTCCAAAAAGTAGTACTTTTTTTATCAATGCCTATTAGTGCATCTTTGCTTGTGTTAAGCCATTCACTAATAAGAAACAAATTTTCTTCACGAGTCCACTTTCTTTTGGTATCTGTCGTTGGAGCAATGATTTATACGTCATCTTCATCTTATTGATTGACTTGTGTGCAAAATTCAGGAATACTTTCCATTTGTATATTTTGCGTAAAACCCATCGATGGGGATGAAATGAACCTTGAAATTATTGGAAATTTTGAGGATTAAAAGAACCTCCAGATGATTGAAAATTTTGAGGATACGATGAACCTACAAAAGGTTGAAAATTTTGAGGATAATAGTAGCGTGGAGGAATAGAAGAATACGATGAAGCGTAGAAATTTGGAACAGATGTTTGAAAGTTTTGAGTAACATTAGGATTGAAAGAGTTTTGCGAACAATTTTCATTTCCAAGCATGTTCGTAAAACTTTGAAACGAAAAAGGCTTTTGAGAATTGGAAGATTTTTGAGAGTTTTGCTACATTGTTAAAACTTGAATGTAGAGTACTGGGAGAAAATATAAAGATCTTTGATGAAAGTTTTTGTGTTTTATTTTGTAAAATGCAAGCATATTTATAGAAAAACTTAGACATAACTGATATATTATTTATATATATTATGTCTTGTTAAATCAAATCAATTTATTTTTTAAAATGCATTATTATATCACATCACAATATTTATTTTTATCATTGCAGTAGTGATAAATCATTTCAAGTTTTGTCTTGTTGAGCTTTCTTTATTAATTGTATTGTTAGATCACATCATAATTTATTATTATACTAGATAGGTTTGAACACACATGCATTGTTAAATCACATCATAGTTATTATTGTACTATGTAGATTTAAACACACTTGCATTGTTAGATCACATCAATATTATTATGTGTCATCAAATTTATTTTTAATTATTTAATTATTGCACTAAATAGGTTTGAACACACATGCATTGTTAAATCACATAATAGTTATTATTGTACTATGTAGATTTAAACACACTTGCATTGTTAGATCACATTTATTTTCAATTATTTTATTATTGTACTATTTATTTACATATTTTCAAATATATTATTATTATTATTATTATTATTATTATTATTATTATTATTATTATTATTATTATCATTTCACATAATTATTTGTACTATGTAACTTTAAACACACTAGTATATCACATCACTATTGTTATATGTCATCATATTTATTATTGTACTATTTATTTACATACTTTTAAATATTATTATTATTATTATTATTATTATTATTATTATTATTATTATTATTATTATTATTATTATTAGTATTAGTATTATTTATTTCATATAATGTAAACTATAAATACCCTATGTTGACAAAAACCCTACACTACACTTCACTTCAAAAAATATTTGTAGCAAACAACTTTGTTACAAAAAAAAATTTCAAATTCATCTCAAACAATTTCGAGTTCAGACTCCGATGAGGATGATGTGATTTCTTTCAATTTGTGGATGCAATTTCAGCGTATTCAAAATGTTATCACTAACCACGAAGAGGAAAATCAATCACGCCGAAGAATATACATTGAAAGAAATCGTGAAGAAGGTCACAATCGTTTTTTTAACGATTATTTTTCTGAAAATCCTGTCTATACAGATTTTCAATTTCGTCGTAGATTTCGAATGAGGAGGCATGTCTTTATGCGCATTGTAGATCGTCTAACAACAGAAAATGAGTTTTCTTCCAACAACGTCGAGATGCAACGGGAAGGCTTGGTTTATCGCCATTACAAAAATGAACGGCTGCTTTGCGTGTGTTGGCTTTTGGTGTAGCTGCTGATGTTGTAGATGACTATATCCGTATTGGAGAGAGTACAACAAGAACGTGTGTAAAAAAGTTTGTTGAATGAGTCATTTCAATATTTGGTGAGGAATATTTAGAAGGCCAAATGCAACAGACCTACAACGATTGTTGTATGTTGCAGAAGAACGTGGTTTTTCAGGAATGATGGGAAGTATTGATTGTATGCACTGGGAATGGAAAAATTGTCCAGCTGTTTGGAAAGGCCAATTTTTACGTGGAGATCATTGCAAACCAACTATCGTATTAGAAGCCGTGGCATCGTACGATCTATGGATTTGACATTCCTTTTTCGGAGCACCAGGTACATGCAATGATATTAATGTACTTGATCAATCTATGATTTTTAATGACTTGTTGAATGGTAGAAGTCCAGAAGTAAGTTTTATTGTCAATAATCACCAATATAATATGGGGTATTATCTTACGGATAGAATATATCCTCCATGGGCGACATTTATCCAATCTATTCATCTGCCTCAAGGACCTAAGATGCAATTATTTGCACAACGTCAAGAAGCTGCTCGAAAGGATGTAGAACGTGCTTTCGGTGTTTTGCAAGCTCGATTCGCTATTATTCGACGTCCGTCACTCATTTGATATATTGATTTGATTGGTAAGATAATGAAAACATGTATAATTTTGCATAATATGATAGTTGAAGATGAAAGAGATACATATCTACATTATTATGATATATCCCAATTCGAACAAGTGGAGACCGAAAATTTAAGCTGTTCAAGTCAGACATATTCTGTAGATAGACATGCTGGAATGATTGAGTTTCTAAGAAATAGAATGCGACTTCGAGACAGAGGAGCACATCAACAACTCAAAGCAGATTTGATTGAAAACATATGACAAAAATTTGGTTCGATAAATAATTAAGTTATTTGTTCTTATTTTAATTTTAAATATTTCTATTGTAATTGCAATGTAATGTAATATAATGTAATTTTTTTCTTAAAAAATTTAATTATTATTTTTATATTTTATTTTTTTAATTAACAAATAATAATTATAACAATAAAAATACAAATTTGATATTAAAATTAAAATTTAAAATAAATTAAAACTAGATTTAATTAAATAATAAATAATATAACTTTTTTCCCATAATTTTTAATAAATCAAAATATTGACAAATAATAATATAATATAATATAGTATAATAATTAAATAAATAATTAGAGCATCCGCAATGGGGCGCATCTCCTCGGAGGAGATACGCCACATCATCATTTAAAAAATAAAAAAAATAAGAGAACCGTGCTTCCCAGCATCTCTGCAGAGACGCTGGGAAGATGTGATTCTACATGGCACTTAGGTATGTAATAACTTTGTTTGTGAGAGATGAGAAAGAAAGAAAGCGTATATCTCCATTGCGGATGGTCTAATAATTTTGTTTGAGAGAGATGAGAAAGAAAGCGAGAGAAAGAGAGGAGAAAAAAAATGTACAAACGGAAAAAGGAAAAAATAAAAAAAAGAGAGTGAGAAAGAGACGAAGAGGTAAGAAGAAGGCTTTAAATATGCCTCGCCTGCACCAAGGAGTAAATCAAGTTTGTTCTTTTTTTTTTTCATGAAAACAAAGGCTACTGTGTTACTTTTTTTTCAAAAACTTTGACAAAAACTTTTCTTCTACACAAAATATCTTCTGTCAAAAGGTCATTGCAATTGCTCTGATACCCTCTAATCCACCTCCAAATTCTCTCTACTTTTGCAGTCCGCTGTAGTGTTACTTCATTTTTGGAGTAATAGTGTACACTCCACTTCAAAAAAGAGTGGAGTTTGTGTGGTATTTGTGTATTTTTGTTATTTTCTTGGGATAATTTTATTTTTTTAGAAAATGATATGTAATTTTTATGGCCGAAATATTATATACATTACATAAATTTAATCTTTTATATAATACTTAATTCTAATTTTTATAATCTTTTAATATAGTATGATATTTTTTGAAAGAGCAATACTCCTATAAAATTACAAAAAAATATAGATTAAAATAAAAATAACTTAAATAAAAATTTAAATTTAAATATTTTTTACAAAAATCTAAAATTTTCTATAAATTATTATTCTCAAAATAAAAAATATAGGTAAAATAAACACTTGAAATATATATGAATTATAAAATTCTAGTACTATTAGTTTTGTAAATATTATATAAAATATTTGAATATAAATTAATTTTGGATATAAGTTTTACTTTTTATTTTAAAAATAAAATAAAATAAAATAATAAATAATAAAAGATAAAGTTAAAAATAAAAAAGTAAAACGCAAAAGTCTTAAATTGTATTTGTATTTCCTCTTTCTTCCGCATGTTCTATTCTCATTGGGTGGAATAGAGAGAATAGAAAGAAATTGAGAATAGGTGATTTGATGCCCTCCAACCCACCCCAAATTCCCCCTACTTTTGCAGCCCGTTGTACTGTTACTCCATTTTTGGAGTAATATTGTACACCCCACTCTATTTTTGGAGTGAAGTTTGCGTGCTATTTGTGTATTTTTGTTATTTTTTTGGGATATATTGTGTAATTTTATGTTTTTGAAAAATTATGTATAATTTTATTTTTTGGAAAGTGATATAATTTTAGTTTTTGAAAATAATGTATAATTTTATTTTTTTAAAAGTGATATATAATTTTACCTTTCAAAAAGTGATATATAATTATATAGTTTTTTCAAAATAATGTGTAATTATATATATTTGGGTTATATTGTAAAAATAAATTAAAATTTGAGTATAATTTATAAATATAAAAAATTATATAAAATAATATAAAAGAGAAATATATAGAGAATATATGTTAAAGTGAAAAATTGAAGTTCATGGTTTGAATAAAATTATCGTAGATCGACATTATTTTTATTGTAACTAGTACAAAAATGAAGGAATGGATTGGAGATGATTTTAGAATTTATGTTTTGTTGTATACTGTAGATGATGTGTTGCTTTCCATTTTGAAAATTTAGGCAACCGGAAACCCTAACCTGCATTGTCAAGAACTCCGATCTACCGCTTTCCTCGTCTATGGAGCTGACGTCACCTCATTCTCGGGCGCCGGACTGTATCTCCGATAGCCTGATCGAGCCGCAACCGGGAACCCTAACCTCCATTTTCGAGAACTCCGATCTGCCGGAATCCCTCGCCAGCTACTTCCAGATCGGCCTCGACGCCGGCAGAGCCTGTGAGTCCCTTATCCGGGACCTCAACCAACTTCGGATCAACCACCGCTGCATAAACAAGCTACTAAAATTAACGCGGCGGTCGCCGGATAGTTGCCGCCGCCGCGCTTCGATCATCAACCACCACAAGGCGTGCAGAAATCTCGCCGCCTTTTCCGTCTGCAGGAACCCCTTTACCGTAGCCACAGGTGGCATGTTCCTCGAAATGCACGACGCGCACGTGCTCCTGCTGGGACGGCTGACGTCACTGCACCGGAAAACCAAGCGGAGAACAATACTCATCCGCCGCTTCCGTCATGGGGTGGCGGCAGTTCTGACAATCGGAGGCGGCGCTCTGGCAGTGGTCTGCTGCTCCTCTCGATTCCGGCGGGGGCCGGGGCAGTGCTGGGAGGGCTGATCGTGTGCACTTTGGCGGCGATGATTCTGAAGAAGCTGAATCGAATTGAGCAGAGAAGGCGCGCGGCGGAGGGACATGGGTAGAGGGGCTGGACATTGCCGCCAAAGGAGTGTACATACTGATAAACGATTTCGAGACGGTGAGCCGGCTGGTGGAGTGGGTGGAGGAGGAGGTGGACCGGCGGAAGTTCGCGGCGGAGATGTGCGTGAGGAGGAAGATGGAGGAGATGCTAAAGGGAGTGGTGGGGGAGTTGGGGACAAACAATGGCAGATATGGGGAGGAATTGGAAGAGTTGGAGAAGCAGACATATCTCTGCTTATTCGACATAAATCGATCCCGACGTTTGGTGCTCCACGAGATCATGTTCCATTAACGACGACGACAAGAAGAACAAATTCTTTAGATTAAGATGATACATTGTTTCTGTTGAGAAGAAATCATAGTGTGTGTTCAAAAGAAAGCATATGCAAAATATTGTAAATTTTTGAGTAAATGATCATTACCTTCTCTTTTCATTTTTCCGTCAGTCAGTCACATCTTTCTTTCAAGAATTCGTGTATATATTTATATATATATATATTTTCTTTTAAGTTTATAAATATTAAACAAATATTTATATTTAATATTTATATATAAAAAATTATAAAAAATATTATATTAAATATCTATTTATATTAAATTAACTGCTTGTGTCAATTCAGATTTTACTATTTATCAACTCCAAATCTAATCCTCAGATTCTTGCACATTCAAAGACACCCTCGATGAGATCTACACTACTAACACTATCAATAAAAATTTACTTTCGAAACATAATATTACAACTATAGAATACCACCAAGCCATCATAGTTATTGTTGGATAATCGGTTAATTGGTTATTTATAAAATCGATAAAATTTAATTTATAAATTAAATTCATAACTTTTTAAATCGATTATTCGTAGAGTTGAAATACAAATGTGCTATATAATGGTTATTAGGTATATGAATGCCGGTAGACATAGGCGCGCGCCGCTTGCCCGAATAATATGGTTGTGGGTTCGTGCTTGGACTTGAGTTTGGTAAATAAATTGATTAATATAGTCTATTGTGCTCCGGAGCTTAATTGAAATGACAAATATTGTGTATCAATTTTAAAATCCAAGAAATTAAATTTATATAATAATAAATAGTCCCAAATTAAATGAATGCATAAATATATAATGCATTTCAAATATAATTGCATGAATAATGCAAAATATAACTTATGTTGAGTTTATACACATGTGCATACATTGAGGTTTTTGAAATACATTGAAATCACCATTATATGCAACGATTAATAACACATGGTAGTTATTCAATTTAAATTTTAAATTGCATAATGGTGATTAATGCATGATATGTTATGCAAATCAAATTGCATAAAAATGCTTGCTACCGGTGTAGGTTTTCAAAATTGCAATTTATTTGTAATTTATTGGCATGCAATTAATCTTCGACCAATAAATAGGTGGGAGTGCCTATAAAAAGGGTGTTGTGGATCTCATTTGAATATGCTAACACCAACAGAATCATCTCCCTCTCTCTAATCCTCTCCTCCCCGGAAACATTTTCCGGCAGAGTTTCCGAGGAGTTGTTCGGTACAAATCCAGCAAATATTTATTAAATATTAAGCCTCCCGACATAACACTAGTCCCCTCATTTTAGTTCACCGGAGCTCCGAAATATTGGGGTGCAAACTAATTCGAAGACGAACATTATTTTATCTTTAGGAACGTTGCACCACGAACAGACACTACTTGAAAAAGCCACATTTGGTGCGAATAAGGTGGCACGGAGACTATTAGTAACTGACTTCCGCACCAAAGTATAAATCAAACATAAAGACACCAAAAGCGACACATATTATAAACTTATTTTTTTCCAAGAAAAAGAGGTGCCGCTATTCGTACCATTACTATAAAATCATTTTATTAAATAAATAAGAGGCACGGTTTTTCGTGCCTTTATTATAAAATTATTATTTTTTTAAATAATTTAAAAATTAAAAAAAAAAGAAATGATTTCGGTTGTTCGTACCTTTAATTAAAAATAAAATAAGAGGCGCTGACCTTGGCGCCTATTATTATTATTTTTTAAAAAAAAATTAAAATACATAATTTTGTGCCTATAATTTTTATTTTTTTAACAGTTGAGGTGCGGAAGTTTGCACATGTTATTATCATTAATTTTTATTTTTTTTAAAATTATAATACTGAATTATGTAGTCATGATTATTATTTCTTTTTATACTACGTTATTATTACTATTTTTTTGTTGAGGCGCCGAAGGTCGCGTCTTTATTTTAATTTATTTTCATTATTTTTGTTGAGGCGCCGAACATCGCACCTTTATTTTATTTTATTTTTAAATAAAAAATTCATTATTTAAAGGATTAATCAACAGCTATATCAAACTCAATCAAAAATAGAGAGAATCGAGAACAAATCGATAGCGGACGTCCTCGGGGCGTCGATCTAATTGTTGTTGAAAAAGCTTATGAGATCAGATCTCTGCGCGTTGTGACGCCGATGTCGGTATGTTGAATTTCAACCATCTGTTGTACTGCCTGTTTGAACAAAAAGAGCAGAGCCTGCAGAGCCTCGTTTTGTTGTTTGTGTAACAAACTTGTATAAATTAGCTAGAGTCATATTCCTTATATATATATATATATCTCATTTCTATATAAATGTATGAGTGGAATTTATTTTGTAGGTGTGAAAATATACAAAGAAAAGAATTCATTCCTCCATTCTGTTTTCTTGCTTCAACCTAATATTATTGGATTTATTTTTATTTCATATGGTATCAGAGCAGTAACGCTCATTTTTCTTCCTTGATAATGGATTTCGCTGGAGAACCACCGGCTCTTGCCATAGAACGACGGGTTGATGAAAATCCTGCTTCACCTTTCTTCATTCACCCAAGTGAAAGCCATGGAAGTGTGCGCATTCAACCCGAACTCACAGGAGCAAACTATGCAACTTGGAGCCGTTCTTTTCTTCTGGCTCTTTCGATTAGAAACAAGGATGGTTTCTTAGATGGCAAAATAGTTGAACCAGCACCAACGCACCCTGCACGCCATGCTTGGACTCGGTGCAAAAATCTCATTCTTGCCTTGCTTTTCAACTCAATGGCACCCAACCTTGCATCTATTGTTTTTTATATGAAAACAGCAAGTCAAATCTGGAAGGCTCTCCACAAACGCTTCTCTATTCCAGACGACAATCGCATTTGCAAATTGTAAGGTGAACTTTATGCAATGGTACAGGGCTCTAAGTTAGTAGATGAATACTACACCAACCTTATGGTGATTTGGGAGGAACTGCGGTATTATCGTCCACCACCACACTGCAAGTGTGGACTCTGCAGCGATGAGTGCTTTCAAGGATTTCAGGCACAACAAGAACAGGACCTGACTTTCAAGTTCCTCAATGGGTTACATGAGAGGTATTCTACCATCCGATCTCAACTCCTCAATCAAAATCCATTCCCTACTTTGGATAAAGCCTACAATGTGGTCCATCGAGAGGAATCACAGTCGCAATACACTCACCACACCTGGGAAGACACAACAGCCATGGCAGCCATAACAGAGAAAAGGAACCGAAATGAGTTCACATGTTTTGATTGTGGTAAGAAAGGACATACTAAAGATAAATGCTACAAGCTTATTGGATTTCCAAAGGATTTTAGGTTCATCAACAACACTCGCTCAACAGTCCATCATGCGCAAGGACCTCAACCATCAGCTTCATTCCGTCCTCCATCCATCAGCAGACCCTGCAAGCAAATTCCAGAGAAACAGAAAGCATTAGTAAACCCTGTTGAGAAACAGAATGCTTCACAAAACTCCCTGCAAGCAGACTCCGAAGGTGGTATACCTTCATTGTCTGGTAATGACATTGAACTTACCCTTTCTACGTGCTTCTCTATTACTGGTCCTGCCATTTCTTCAACCAATAATTCAAGTTGGATTGTAGACACTGGCACTACAGACCATATATATGGTAATATTTCTCTCTTCTCTCATCTCCGACCAATCAATGGATTCTTTGTCACTTTGCCTAATGTCACACGAACCACAGTCAGTTATGTCGGTTCTGTGTGTATCACTCCCATCATTACTTTATCTGAAGTTCTCTTAGTTTCTAATTTTACCTGCAATCTATTGTTTGTCAGTAAGCTCACTGCCTCACAACATTTCGTTTTATTTTTTGGGCTAATGAATGTTAGTTGCAGGCCTCACCCTCGTGGACGAGGATTGGAGTTTCTAAGCAAGTAAATGGCTTGTACTTTCTCCATCAAGACTGCAATCAACCTTCTTCTTTTCACCAATCATCTGCTCATTCTGTTTCGTCTTCTATATGGCATTTTTTCCTCGGTCATGCCCCTTCAAAGATATTAGCTCACTTGAAAGAAAGTGGCATTGTGCATAAACTACCTATTGTTTGTGATACTTGTCATCGAGTCGAGCAAAAACAGCTTAAGTTTTATGTTCATGTCAAGCACACTGTCTTTCCTTTTCATATAATACATGTTGACATATGAGGCCCGTATCATCAAGTGTCTTTAGGGGGTCACAAATATTTTATCACTATTGTTGATGATTTTTCCCGATTCACTTGGACCTATCTTATGCATACAAAATCTGAAGTGCCATTGATTATTCAAAAATTTCATCATTTTAACTCAATTTGATTCTCATGTCAAAATAATTCGTTCAGATAATGGTGCTGAGTTTAATCTCGCTTCTTTCTTTGAAGAAACGGGCATAATTCATCAACGTTCTTGTGTCTCTACTCCCCAATAAAATGCAGTTGTTGAGTATAAATATGGGCATCTACTTACCGTAGTTCGTGCTTTGTTGTTTCAAGGAAATTCTGGGGAGATGCTATTCTGACAGCAACTTACATCATAAATAGATTGCCTTGTCATGACCTTGACTATCAAACACCATACTTGCTCCTAAATCGCAGCTATGGACAAAAATTTGTGTTATTTTTAATAAACACAAAATTTGTACAAATTATATTTGATCTGAATTTAAAGCGGGTCCTATTCTCTAAATGGGTCATTTGATTCTCCTTCCGGGTTGATTTGTTTTCCAACTTAGTTTTCGATGGCTTCTTTGATCCGAAGAGGTTTGGTTCTCGGTTTGACTTTGCCGGCTTTTGGAGAGCTTTGGTCTCCGTGCGGGTGATTTGATTGTCGGCTTTGGATTTGATGTCTTTTTTAGACGATCCGAGGCTTTGATCTTTGATTTGGCTTTGCCGCCTTTTGGAGGACTTTGGTCTCCGCGTTGGCGATTTGATCATCGCCTTTGGATTTGATATCTTTTTTAGACGAT